TTGCCCTCTGTGATATTTCCCTCACAGCTAGCCACTTCAGTCAGTAAAAGCCGAGGAATGTCAGCCAAATAGCTACGAAGCTCCTCGTCGTGACTCTCGGAATGTCGCCGAAACGCTTCGCACATGTCGTCAGTGGCCCTCAGAGTATGCCCCTCCGGGGTTTTGACCTTACGAATGACCTCACCGGAACCTCAACGGCTCTCTTTCTTGCGCAATTCTGCGCCCATATTCACAGCTTCTGAAGACATCTTGCTTAACTTATGTCTAATTACTTGACCTATGTAGCGCTTGCTAGCCAAACGCTGCAAGGCCTCTCTAGCTAAGGCTCTCTCTAGGGTATCCCCCAGCCCGGAAAAGACTATCTTTAAGAGCCTTCAACATGTTAAACTTATCTAGCGCGAGCTGTTTGCTAAACTCGTTGGTGAAGGACCTAATCCTATCCTTAAGTCTCTTCCACCACCTATTCCCAATAACCGCCCCCACTAGTTGCCGCTGCACTACACTAGTTAGCTGTTCCTGGAAGTCCCACCTGTCCAGTAAAGACAGATTGAACTTACAGTATTCAACCTTTCTAGGCCTTCTATTTAACGCCACCACGGCACAAACAGATTTGTGGTCCGAATAGCCTAACACGTCAAAGCCATTACACCTTCTATTGACGATTCTATTGAATGAGATCAAATGTAAATGTCGTCATAATTTTTTTTTATTCTATCTTATTTCATTTTAAGTTTATTTGCAGCCATTCAATGTTTTTATTAAGAGTAATATATCTTATTTTATATATATATATATATATATATATATATATATATATATATATATATATGGGTGTGCGTCTGTGTGGGTATGTATATGTGTACATGTATATGCATTTGTGTGTTATGTATATATGTGGGTATATGTGTAGGTATATGCATGTATTTGTATGAATGCATTGAATATGTATCTATGTTATTTTTTAATGTATATGTGTGTGTATATGTATATGCGATTTTGTGTATATATATATATATATGTGTGTGTGTGTGCATGTTTCTGTGTTTTAGTATATATATGGATATATATATATATAAATATATGGGTAACTTTATATGTGATTTTGCATATATATATGAGTGTGTATCTTGTGTGCTTGATTATATGGGTATATTTGGGATTTTATAAATATGAAAATAAATCAGATACTGAATTTAAGATATTGATTTTTGTATTATTTTTTAGTATTATTTTCACTTACCCTTTTATATTTGTATAGTTGTGTATGTATATGCATGTATGCATCTAGGTGTGTATATGTGTGCATATATATATATATATATATATATATATATATATATATATATATATATATTATATATGCCTTTATATTGTATATATATATATATATATATATATATTGTATACTTTTCTATATTGTATATTCAATCATTTTCTTTCTCTTGTTTTCAGTTTATTAATTTTCGATTATTTTCTCTTCTTTTCTTTTTTATAAATACATACATACACTCATACATATATAAACATATGTAGACAGTTTCATATAGCCCCATATCTATGACACATGTATGTATACCGGTGGTGTTATGTCTATACATACGCATTTGTATGTTGAAATGTTGAAATTTAAACATTGGAAGTGTGGAACGGAAATGTCTCGTTAATGTCTCGTGAATGTATCCATGTCATATTATGGAAATTTTTTTTTTTTTTTTTCGTTGAAAATATTTCCTCGCATGTATGTATATACGTGTGGTGGGGTTTAATGTAAAATTATGATAGGTAAAAGTTATTATTATAATTATTTATATTTATTTTAAATTTTTTTACCCCAAACAAAAAATGGGGTTTTATTTGTTATATTTAAAGCTGGTTATTTGTTTGTTTTTTATTGACTGTGTATATGTAACAGGTTTTTTGGAAAAAATTTGTAATCCTTATTGTTTAATTTATATGGTGATGTTTAATTTAATAACCGGTCTATATGATATGATGTGATAGTAATGTTTCAAACGGTTCGCCATTGGAGACAATGCTATTTAGATAGCATAGACAGATAATAGTTATTGTAAATTGGAAGAAATTATAAATTGGTAGAAATGATTAGTAACGGTGGTGGGAGAATGATAAAACCATGAATGTTAATGTTATAGTGGTGGTGGCTTTTTGAACTAAAAAGTGGTTGTTGGTGTTATATATATATGAGTCCCGACGGACGACCAAGTATGTATATGAAATGTTGCATACATCGATGTTTGCGTTAGTACGATGAATGACAAAACGATAGGTAAAATTATTATTACCATTTATATTCCACAATAAGACCAAAGCTGGTTACACGCAATCTACATAAAAATTTGTAATCCAAATTTTTTTTTAAACATTAATCAGTTTGTCTGACGATCGCTAAAGCGTGAAACCCAGGGTCACAAACTCATCTATCCAACCAAATATGTTATGCTCTATCTCTGATATTGATCGCTTTCTAATAAGTACCGCAATGTATATAATATATAAATAATTATACATATATATATTTATTATATATTGAGCGCTTTATATACACTTTTCAAATATATATATATATATATATATATATATATATATATATATATATATATATATATAAAGTAAAATGGAAAATTATAAACAGGGCTAGAACTTGGGATGACCTATGCCCTTTGTGCCTCCATGAGAAATTGCACATTATTAAACTTCTAAATAATAATAATCTATTAAACAAGAGACATGAGTTAACGGTTTTCTGTCGACATCATCAGATTTATGGTTTGAATTATTAGCTTAAAACAAGCATACAATATAATAACTTGATTAATCCATAGCCCAATCATCAGATTCATGGTTTGAATAATTAGCTAAGAACAAGCATACAATATAATAACTTTCATAATCCATAGCCCAAATAAATAGTTTAAATACCCTACAAAAAAGATAACCCTTTATGAAGTCGTCAAAAAACAAACGTTACGGCAGTTTTTTTTTTTTTATGCACAAATCCCTTTCATAAAAAATAAAATAAAAAAATAAATAAATCCCCATAGACAAGAATACCAGACTAGGGTTAATAGATCTTCCGTTTCAAATTTAGACACCCCCACCTTTCCCTGACTTGACATCTATGAAAGTAACTCTATACTGATACTTATTATTAACACCCTACACTCGCCTACCCAATTTAAACAATTCGCCCTAGCTGTTACCATGGAAATTTTGATTTCAATTTTTAAAACACGTAAATTTCAGAAATACGTTATTCCCAAAAAATTTCGCTTGAAGATGGAACAGAGCTTATTTTAACTCCATTTAATTTAAATAATTATATTGAAGTTTTCGGCTCTTGTTTTGAAACATGAGACCTCTTATGTCGCGAATTGGAATCATATTTTTAAATAAATAATTATATTTATGCTCTACTTTTGTATCGAGCACTATTTTTTAAAAATAATAACTAAAATACTACGGAACTTTGGATTATTTACCTAACCAGTTCCTTCCTATTTTCTCATATATATATATATATATATATATATATATATATATATATATATAGAGAGAGAGAGAGAGAGAGAGAGGTTATTTTTTTCTTTCCGTTTTCCATTTCATTCTTTTTATTTCTCCTTCTGGAATAGATTGATTCGTTTTATACGACCTATCAGCTCTTTACAGGATATTTAAAGCCAGAAAATATTTTGAGATTTTCAAGAAATGAGGGATGAACTGGCATTTAATATCACGCCTCCTATAGAGCACTGAATGCCGGACAATTTCCTTGTAGACTAAGAGGCAACAGAGATGTGGTTATACAGAAGATTTGATTGATTCGTATTTTAAGGCTTATCTTTTTTTAAAATCATTTCACTTCAAGCAAGGAGAGAATGCCACTAGTACGCAGGAGGTTACAGAGAGTGAAGATGAGAGAAATGATTGGGTATAGCGGGGACCGAGGAAAGGATAAAAGCTGATCATACTTCAAGAAGATAGCGATTGACGTTGCATTTAAATTTTAAAAGATTGTAGATATCAGGTAAGCAAGTAAATGGAAGGGTATTTCACAGGCGGGAAGTGCGAGAAAAGAAACAGTTGGAGTAGAAGTGACGGTTACATTTACCTAATTCAACAGTATAAGGGTGGGACCTAGTTGCCAATCTAGTAGCATCCTTAAACTCACGTAGTTCGGGCACTAGGGACAAAAGTTTTTCAGAACTGTAGCCATAAAATATTTGTAGAAAAGACAGAGGGAAGTCAGATCACGTTGGTGTGAAAGTGACGGAAGACGAGATGCCAGGCCAGGGTCGATTACATTGCAGATCCTTCTTTTGATTTTGTCAAGAACCTCGACATGTGTTGCAGGAACACCTGACCAAATATGGCAACGATATTAAATGCACGGACGAATGGTAGATCTGTAAATGTGCAAGACAGATTCTGACGAGAAAAATCTTTTGGCACGACACAGTGACACAACTTTCCTTGCAGTAGATGCAGCTATTGATTCGATGTAGTTGTTCCACTTCAAGTCAGTTAAAAACGTGAGGCCAAGAAGGCGCAGTGTGTTGCTCTCTAGGAGTTTAGCATCAGCCATATTGATAACCGACAAGAAAGTTTTTCTATGATAATTAAATGAAAGCAGGTTCATCTTAAAGCAGGTTCAATTTACGAACCATTTCCTGTCCCAGTTAATCAGTTATTGAAGGTCTTTTCAGCTTAGGTTAATTTGTCAAGCATTTGAGGTTATTTGAAGCCAAAAGATATTTTTAGACTGTAAGAATTTTGTGTGGGGAGAGATAATAATCGGTTTAGTGATACAAGTCCTGCTCATTAACCATAGCTGGGAAGTGAAGAGGCGGATTCATACGTTTCCCAAGGATATTTGTTCGTAATTGAATAAAAAGAACCCAACCGGAATTGGAACTCTGCTCTCCGATTAACAATTCCTAGTCATTATCACAAGACACCACCGGATATATCCAAACATATATCAGCTGGTATTCCCAAGCGGTCGCCCATATAGATACTGACCAGGTTCGACGTTCCTTAACTTCGCTGATCGTACGGGAACTGGTGTTCCAAAGTGAGGTGACCGTATGCCTCGAAAGCCGAGGAGGTGTTTGAACTGGACGATTAGCAAATCTATTTGCATGTGAATATTTGTGAAAAAAGTAAAATAATTTATCGATAAAATCCCAAATGAAAAAAAAAAGGCAAGATTTTTTAAAGAAAATGCCATTGGTATTTCAAGTTGTATTTTGGTACAGTACAACAAAAATAAATTCATATTCTTAATATGAAAGGAAAGTACAACCAGAGTAAAAAAATATTTATGTATAAATGAAAACTATTGAACAAGAATTCCTGGAAATGGCTCACGTCTGCTTTGGCAAAGGAGAAGGCGATTTCTGTGAGCAGTGTGTGCTGCGCCGCCAAAAAGGTTTCAAGAAATTCGCGTGTACGACAATAGCAGTAGAACTGAACAACGGAAACGTCTAGTTTGACATTGCTGGGCCGGCCACATTATCTCCAGAATCTAATTCATCACTCAAAACAGCGAAAGACAAGCGCTACACAATTCTGGCAGGCGCATGCTATGTTGGGGGTCAAAGTATCTCAATGCAAAGTGCTACGTGGATTACAAATCGTCCATCGTCATTTGGTAGAGAATAAATCTCGCGAAGTTTTTCTTTTCTTTACCTCTCAGCCATTTCTATTCAATCAGTCTCTTCATATCTATCTATCTATCTATCTATCTGATAATATCAGTATGCTCATCTCTCTTTCTCTCTCTCTCTCTCATTATATATATATATATATACATATATATATAAATATAATAATCTACCTACTCATATCTCTTACACTCTACACACAAACATATATATACATCATAGTCTACTCTATATATCTAAGTCTACACATATATCTTGTCTCTCTCTCATATATATATATATATATATATATATATATATATATATATATATATATATATATATATGTGTGTGTGTGTGTGTGTGTGTGTGTGTGTGTGTGAAAATGTATAGAAAATAGGAAGGAACTGGTTAGGTAAATAATCCAAAGTATTTTAGTTATTATTTTAAAAAAATAGTGCTCGATACAAAAGTAGAGCATAAATATAACTATTTGAAACATGAGATCTCTTATGCAGCGATTTTGAATCATATTTTTAAATAAATAGTTATATATATATATATATATATATATATATATATATATATATATATATATATATATTTCTCATCTATTTCTATCTCGCCATATATATCAGTTTATCAATCTCTCTCTCTCTCTCTCTATATATATATATATATATATATATATGTGTGTGTGTGTGTGTGTGTTTACTCATATTTCATATTCTACTTCTTTCTCTCTCTATATATATATATATATATATATATATATATATCAGTCATATCTATCTCACCATATATGTATATTACTATACTCATCTCTCTCTCTCGTTGTCTCTCTGTCTCTCTGTCTCTCTCTCTCTCTCTCTATATATATATATATATATATATACGTGTCTCTCTTTCTCTCAGATTGTCTGTCCTTGTCTTTCTTTCTCTCACTTTACATATATATATATACTCATATATATTTATATCTACCATTCCCTGCTTATATATATATATATATATATATATATATATATATATATTTCAGTCAACCCATATGTTACTCTCATATATATATATATATATATATATATATATATATATATATATATATATATGTCTCCTCATACCTTTTGAGTTAAATAGCTATCTCTGTCTCAATCTCTTCATATGTATCTGTTCATATCTGACATTTTTCTCTATTTTTGCTCTTTCTGTTACACCATATTTTTCTCTTTGTTCTTCCCAATTCCATGCCTTCATTCCTACTGCATTCTTTCCCCCCCCCTCTCTCTCTCTCTCTCTACCTCTTTCTCTTTATACATAGTTCGCTCTGTGTGCCTATTCTTCTCTTGTTTCTCTCAACTGTCTGCCTCTCGCTCCTACATGTCAGTCTCTTCTCTCTTTTTCTGCATCACTCAGCTCAGTGTCGAGGCTCGCTAAATAGCTTTATTTCCCTCTATTCTATCACATACCGTATATATTTTCTGTCCGCGTGTGTTCGTATTGTTTGGTTCATTCTACTTCCTCGACTGCATGTATGTGTGTGTATGTGTGTGTATGTGCGTGTACTAAACTGTGCCTAGTGAAAGACCAAGTGTGGGGTTTGAAAGATTTTGCATATCAATATAAATTAGTTAAGCCAAGTCTAGTGTAGCACAAGGCTAAGTGGGGGACTGAAATGAAAATCTACCTGCGTTAAAAAAAAAAACATCTTTCAAAATCTTGATTTTACCTCAGAGCGAATATCAATCTCTGTGCTTTCGGGATCGACACATCTATTTAAACAAAGGTACATCATTGCTGGGTATACGTGTGAATATTTATTAAGAAAGCAGCGACCAAAAATGTTACTAATTATTATTATGTCTACAGAAATATCAGCTTTAGGTCGACAAGAAAAATATCAAAAACGTAACCTAATTGATCTTTACAAACTGAAAAGCAGAGAGCGAGATAAGTAGAGAAGCAAAGAAATTCTGTCTATGAGACGTTGAGTAAAACTATAGCGTCACGTGACAGGTGAAATCCAATGAGTGAACATCTGGCTTTTCTTGTTTAAGAAGATTATTTCGCTTTCAGGTGCTGTATTATTGTCATGACATGTCTACGACGAGGAAAAAAAACAATAAAGACCTATATACCAAAACTTGTTTCTATCTACGTTGTATGTCTGAATTTCTCCGAAATAGATTATTGGTTTACGGCCATAAAGCGCGAAAACACTGGTTCCTACACGGTTACCGAAGTGAAACAAATGTCGATCCTAGTCAGTATCTCAATGGCTGACTTCTTGGGCGTGCCAGGTACTGTAAGCTTTGCTGCACGGTTGGCGTAATAGATAATGGCTCGGAATGTATGTATATTGGCGGCATGTCATTATTCAGGCATGTGTTGTAAAAAACTACAAAACTTTTCCGTTTTGGTAATCTTTTTTGTTCAGTTTTTCTTGCTTTCTCGCAAGTATTTTTTTTTTAAATATTTGGATCTTATTAATAATGCTAATAGAACTAATCTAACAAATGCCCAAAAGATTATCTATAAAACAAAAATAATAAACGACTTATTTTCAAATCAGAACATACGCCATGATGACGGTAAACGATAACCGAAACCGCTCGGTAATAATCATGGACTACGGTCTTATTTCATCAACTGACAACCAAATATTAAAAACTTGTGAGAAAACATGAAAAAATTTAAAAAAATTATTATAAAACGGAAAAGTTCCGTAGTTTGTAACAACACATGCCTGAATGAATATATATATATATATATATGTGTGTGTGTGTGAGAGGAGATACGATATGATATATATATATATATATATATATATATATATATATATATATATATATATATATATATATATATATATATATATATATATATATATATATATATATATATATATATATATATATATATATGAAAATTTCTCCGATTTAACCAGTAGAGAAGACAATATTTATGAATAAAAATGACAATACGAAAACTACCGAAATGTTCTTTGTAGCCCAGAGGTAAGGCACGTCAGCGTAAATGACGGTTCCGTATAGGATGCAGGTTCGAATCCTGTCAAAGAACAAATATTTTCTATGAAAATTTCTCGCACACTCAGGCCGGTAAATGTTATTTAATACTGTTTATCATAAACAGAGCATTTGCTTAAATACTTGTATCTATAAATAACAACGTTAAACATAAAAAATGTCTTTAATAAATAAATTGTCGGACCTTGTCCATTTCTTAATATATGACGTCATTTGTTTACATTTGATACGCCAGAGCAGTTATGAATGTACAAGATTCATGGAAGATTGAAGTTTATAAGCAGTAAATTCGACCTTGTCTACCGAAAGGTTCTTTTGTAGCCGAGACAGTTGGGCACGTCAGCTTAAATGTTCCGTATAGGATGCAGGTTCGAATCCTGTCAAAGAACGAATATTTTCTATGAAAATTTCTCGGACATTCAGGCCGGTAAATGTTATTTAATACTGTTTATCATAAACAGAGAATTTGCTTAAATACTTGTATCTATAAATAACAACGTTAAACATAAAAAATGTCTTTAATAAATATATATATATATATATATATGTTGAAAGAGAGAGAACGAGAAATAGATAGCTACCTCGATAGCTAAAAAGAATGATATATATATACATATATATATATATGTGTATATATATATATATGTGTGTGTGTGTGTGTGTGAAAATATAGAAAATAGGATACTATACTTCATACTGTCGGATCTATATCCATATATTTGCTTATATATATATATATATATATATATATAATATATATATATTATAATAATGGACTCTCCCGTCGGTTTCGACGTATGAGGATCTGACAACTTAATTGATTTAGTTATGAAATTTTGTGCGATAATCTTAAGTGCCATTTAAGATCCGCTAGTGATTTACAAAGGAGGCCACATATGGAGCAAGTGTGAGGATTGTGAGATGAGATCAATGTTAGATTGGCTGACCTTTTAGATCTTGCTCTCGCTTCTTGAAGATGATTCAGACAAGCAGATTGGAAATTGCTGAGTCCACTAAAACACATTGATCTCCATTCTACCCGCTCCAAGGCGAAGCGCCCAAGGGTGTTATGTGGTATATTGACTGCTGACAAGTTGCTTTTCAGCTTGTCTTTGTATCTTAGCCATGGGCGTCCTACATTCCTGTAGCCCTGATCTAACTGGCGACCTCATTTGGAGCCATAGTTTAAGAATCATTGTTATAGAGAGATAGCTATGAACACACACACACACACACACACACACACACACACACATATATATATATATTTGAATATAAATAAAATAGTAAAACTCTAGTAGTTGCTGACGCGTTTTGTCCAATGTAGAATTTCTCAAAGCAAAAAACGAAATGAATTTATTTAAACAAAGTAATTAATAATAACAAAATTCATTCCGTTTTATGCTTTGAGAAAGTCCACATTTCCTATTGTCAATTATATTTAAAAATATTGTCTTTTTTACAGGTTAACTCTGAGAAATTCTCATATATATATATATATATATATATATATAAAGGTAACCAACAAATTACGTAATGTCGTGTGGGAAGAAGTGATCACTAATACGCAAACGAATGCATCACGTGCCAGGAAAGAGGTGAGGGATGGGATCATTTCTCTTGACCAATGCAGGTACATTGCGTGCAGACATCAGTTATTGTTCTTTGTAGCTTTGAGGAAACATGGCAGTGCCGAAGAATCTCGTTCGGTTTTGTCTGCTTGATATGGGCTTGACGCAGCCAACGTCATGCCCATGAATACGTCAAGCCTTTAGGAATAATGAACAGTTTAGCACTTAACAGACCCACCTCTATATATCTGGATTGAAAATCGGAATAGTATTTATTCATGCGTAGCCTGTAGCGAGCAAGTAGACCTTGCGGAGCCCATCCCTCTTCAGGTCACGTCACAGTCGATGTCCTCTAAGCTGAACGCTCATCTTGTTCACGGATACGTAACTGTTGATTTCCATAGCGAGAATTCTGTGCTCTGACGGATGACTTCAGTCTAGAATGCCTTCCGCCCGGCGATACCGTGTCATTACCGCACTGACTGCATGCATTGCGCTAGATGGTATCAACTTATTAACAACTCGTTTAATCATTTGTAAAAAAAAAAAAAAAAAAAACGGCAAATACTGCACATTTAATTTTGACAATAATAAACAGGCCGGGAATACAATTTCAACCCATAAGCCAAACCTAAAACAGGATCTTCAGAGTATAATGTGCTTGATTATTATACAAGAATTTATCAACTTATTAAACCTAATAAACTTAAAATAATTAATAAACCTAAAATAATAAAATAAAATGAAGAATATATCTGAAATATAAAATAAAATATTATAATAAATATTATAAATATAAAAATATTATAAATATATATAATATAATTTTATGAAGCATCAAATAAATAAATAATAAAATATATATGGTGGACTCTCCCGTCGTATTCGACGTATAATAGTCAAGCAGCTCAGTTCTTAGGAACCGGCAGCCGAGACACCAGGATATATGATTTGATTATAGTCTTTAAGGATTTGTGAAGAACCAAGCACACTTTTTGAAGGGCCGAATACAGAGACCTGCTACACTGAGCACTTTAAGGTCCCGAAACGACACTCCGCTGGTTTTAAATTCAGAGTTGTCCCTCGCCTAGATCAGATGCCATCCAAGGCTATAGAACCCAACAATTTACCCATAGCTGGAGGGATAAAAAGAGGATTAATATCTATCCCAAAGGTATTAGCACGTAAGTGATTGTAATGGATTCGACGGGAATTCGAACTTGGCTCTACGACTCCTCAATCCGAGTGACTATCCTCACAATATATAATATATAATAATATATCACAATAAACATGATAATAAACTTAAAAATCACATATAATATATATATGATATAATAATGTCATAATACATAATGAAAAATTTATTATAAATATAAGAAATATTATAAAAGTTATATAAATTTCTAAAATATTAATAAAGTAATTAAAATAATAAACATTAATAAACCTAGAATATTTAAACCTAATCAACCTAAAAGAGGATCTTCAAATTATAACGCGCAGGGTTATTATACAAAATGGTATCAACTTATTATACAAGAAAGTATCAATTTTTAGTATAACACGCAGTACTACTATACATTGGTATTAACTTATTATTAGTTTGGTGCAAAAATAATGAGGTAATAATGTCGTTTTTCGACGTTAAAAATACGTCAAAAAACGACATTATTACCTCATTATTTTTGCACCAACCTAATACCAACTCGCCAAATGATGTACATTTGAATTTGACAATAATAACAGGCCGGGAATACAATGTCAACCCATAAGCTAAACCTAGAACAGGCTCTTCAGAGTATAACGCGCAGCATTATTTTTTATATAAAAATTTAGAGAAAAAGACGCTATTATATAATGAGAAATCTAGTCTATATTCCTCCATTTATTTGTCGCTCACCTCCTCCTCCCTATTTCCTCTTAAAAATGAGAAAAAATTTCAAATTATCAATCATATGCAATTTACAAACAATTTTTTTTTTATAATTAAATATAATTGTTTTGGAAGCAGGGTTGATTTCTTTTGTTAGAAAAATCCCTAGAGGAACCTTATTATAAAGAAAAGGTTTGACGAGGGACGCTCCTCGTCAAACCTTTTCTTTATAAAACATTTGGAAAGTTCTAAGGTTCCTAAATTCGGTAAAGACAGGACAGCTGATGGATGTCTTCAAATTCTTCCTGTTCCTCTAGAGGCAACAGCAACATACCGACTCTATGGCATGTGATAACCCGATATAATTAATAATCCATGCCTGGCACTGCACGCGAATTGCTTGAAGACAATTTTACATCTCCTGCTTGTGAAATCGTGTAACTCAGCAAATCTGTTCTCAGTAAGTTTTTATTTTTATTTTTATTTCTTCTCCTCGAGTGAAAACAGACAGCAGAATGAAGAGAAACAAATTTAATTGAAACGACCCAGCCTAAGACGCAACTCGATTATTTCAATTTGGGGTGTAGGTATTGATGCATCTAAAAAGGTCTTTCTTTTTAATGTAGGTACCGCTGATACGTTTGCATTGGATCGAGAGAACTGCGAATGCACTGACACTTTTCATCAAATGCAACAAGAAAATCCTGTCTTGCGGGGACGAATTGCTACTGCGCAGGCGTATCACTACAACTGTGGCCCGAAAGGAAAAGCTAAAATGCCCGGGGATAATGATTTTCGGGGCTGATGTCGATATGTCGGATTGACACATGATTATAACTGTAGTCGAGTTCTTTCTTTACTGCATGTTATTTATTGAGTTTAATTTAAATTTTGTACAAAGCCATAAATATGAGGCACCTAGTGAGAAACGAAGCCAAGACCCATGATTAGCTAACACAGCATCATGTGGAAGAATCCATACAACCACCAGAGAATTGGGATTCATTTAAAAATGAATTAGCGTTACGAAAATTTATTAATTGATTTTCTTTTTATTAACCAAAGTATTTACATAAAATGACGAAAATATCTCAGGAAACATGGAAGAAAATGAAGAAGAAAAGAAAAAGGCAACATAGAAACCTTTCTTGTTCCTTTTGCTTTTTCCTTATATTTGCATTTTAATTTTGTGCATTTGAAAATATTGAAGAAAGCCGAAACGGAATTAAGAGATTAAATAAAGGGATGAGGCAACAAAAGGGACCGAAAAAAAATGAATAATAGGCAATATAGAAAAGAGACTAAAATGATGAAGAAAGAATAGAGAAAAGTAATTGAAAAAATGAAGAAGAGAGAATAGAGAAAAAAACTGAAAAATGATGAAGAGAAAATAAAGAAAAAAAACTGAAAAATGATGAAGAGAGAATAGAGAAAAAACTGAAAAAGGATGAAGAGAAAATAGAGAAAAAAACTGAAAAATGATGAAGAGAGAATAGAGAAAAAACTGAAAAATGAAGAGAAAATAGAGAAAAAACTGAAAAATGAAGAGAAAATAGAGAAAAAACTGAAAAATGATGAAGAGAGAATAGAGAAAAAAAACTGAAAAATGATGAAGAGAGAATAGAGAAAAAAACTGAAAAATGATGAAGAGAGAATAGAGAAAAAAAACTGAAAAATGATGAAGAGAGAATAGAGAAAAAACTGAAAAATGATGAAGCGAAAATAGAGAAAAAAACTGAAAAATGATGAAGAGAGAATAGAGAAAAAAAACTGAAAAATGATGAAGAGAGAATAGAGAAAAAAACTGAAAAATGATGAAGAGAGAATAGAGAAAAAAAACTGAAAAATGATGAAGAGAGAATAGAGAAAAAACTGAAAAATGATGAAGAGAAAATAGAGAAAAAACTGAAAAATGATGAAGAGAGAATGGAGAAAAAGGGTTGAAAATGGTGAGGATAAGGAAAAGTGACTGAAAATGATGAAGAACGAATAAAGAAAATGAAGGGAGAATGAAGACAGACTACAAAAAAAGACTAAGAAAATGATGAAGAGAGACATAGAAAAAGTGACTGAAAAAATGATGAAGAGAGAATACAGAAAGGGACTTAAAAATTGATGGACAGTGAATACAGAAAAGGGCCTAAAAGGTGATGAACAGAGAATACAGAAAAGTGACAGAAAAAGATGAAGAGAGATTACAAAATTGGGACTAAAAAATGATGACGAGAGAATAGTGAAAAGTGACTGAAAATTGATGAAGAGAAAAAAAACAAAAGTGAAAGAAAAATGGTAAAGCGATTATACAGAAAATTGATGAAAAATGAAGAAGAAACAATACAGAAAATTGAAAGAAAAGTCAGAATACAAACAATGGACTAAAAATTGATGCAGTGAGAAAGAAAAGGACTGAATGATAATGAAGAGAGAATAGAGTAAAGCGATAGAAGAATGATGAAGAATCATTACAGAAAAGGGATCGGAGAGGGAATAGAGAAAAGGGACGCAAAAATTTTGATGAGAAAAGGGACTAAAAATGATATAGAGAGATTACAGAACCGAAAAACAAAATTAAGAAAACTGCAACGGGAAAATACAAATAGAAAAACATAATGTATATAAAAAAGAGAAAATATGCCTGTCAATAAATACTTTTCTCTTTTTAAACATTATAAAGCAACCCAGAAATGTTGGCTTCTATTCGACGAATTGAAATAATCCATTAAATATCTGAAAATAGAGGCGATAATGCAGGCGTTAATATTGTGAAATCTAAAATAAAAATGGCTACCAGCTAGAGTAAAGAGCTGTTAATGACTTTGCAGCATCATGGTAATAAAATGAAAGTCCGATTGAGGTTGAGTTGACATGAGGTAAATAATGAAAAAGATCGTTTAAAATTTGGAGATGGACCGAAAAGATAATGGCTATATTAGAAAGATAAAGGCGAGCGCAGGTAATGGGAAAAAAGAAAAAGGAGACGAAAGTATAAAGGAAAGAAAAATAAAAGTGAAAAAAAGAAAAAGGGGGAGAAAAGAAAAGGGGAAGAAAAGATAAGAAAAGAAACGAAAGGTGGGGGGAGATAAAGCGAAAAAAATCGAAGAAAGAATAAAGGAAAGAAAAAAGAGAGAAGAAAAGATAAACGGAAGAAAAGAAAAAGGAAAGAAATGAAAAAGAGAGGAAAAGATGAAGGAAAATAAGAGCAAAGGACAAATAAAAAGTCAATAAAAAACTAATAAGAAAGAAAAAAATGAAGAAAAAATAGAAAGAGAAGAAAAACTAAAAGGAATAAAAGGAACGCGAGGAGAACAGAAAAATAGGAGAAAATAAAAATGGAATTATAAAAAAGAAAAGAAAAGAAAAAGAAAAAGAAAAAGAGAAGGAAAAGAAAAAAAGAATAAAAGGAAGAAGTTATGGATTCATTCCTTTGGTAAAGATATTTTTGCAAAAATGAACAATAACTCGGCATGCCAACTCCATTTTCCGTGTTGATAAAGCACATCTGATAAAACTCTCACTGATTAGTATATTGCGTGATGAAAAGGCAGTTTAACATCGATACACAGAATAAATTTATTTTACCAATCTATAGCTTCAAGGAATGGCTAACTATAAAGAATTTCTTACAAGAGATTACCGCTTCGTGGCAACCTTTAACAACGTCCGCATCAAACCGGTGCGTCAAATGAAGCAGTCATTTTGTCAAAAGAACAAATATTACGTTGACTTTCCATCCAACTCATTTATAGTCATTTACTTATTTTTTTATTTTATTCGGCGTCTTTTCATTTTGGTTTTCACCTTTATTCCTCACGAGTTAGTCTCCTTTCGTATATTCTATTCCTTTCGACTTTTTCCCTTGACTCTACTACGCACTTAAAAGTAATCTATCTCTCTACACCGGGTCCCTTCCGGACGTACTTGATCATGGCTCTCCACAGGGTCTTGTTTTTGTTTCCAGCAAAGGTCCACACTTGCTCCTCCTCCATTTGGACAAACTCGTAATTCCGTTTTACAGTTTCACTTGTTTTCTATGGCAATTTTCGAAGCGTAGGATAGATGTAGCACAAGGCCGAAAGTAGGGGCACCCAGTGAAGATCGAACTCACTGTTCAATCGTAACTGATCTAGAGAGACAAACTTGTTAACCATTACACCATGACAATGTGCCCCACACTGAGCCTCCTATAGATCATGTGAATCTTTCCTCATAATATCTTTTATCTCTCCATTTTTGTTTTTTTAGCCACAGTTTCTTTGTGGTTTCAATTCTCTTTAGAAATTCATCATTTGTCGTATTCTCTGTTCTTAACATTCGTTGGTAGAACCACATCTTGGCTGTCTCAAGTATTTTTCTTTCATTTGCGATAAAACTCTCCAGTTTTCACTGATTTATAAAACAGAATCGATCATATGGCAGTGTAAAGCTCACATTATGTTTTTTATAATATAGCACATAGTCATGTCAAATGTACATTATGGTTATAAATGCACGCAAGAATAGATATATAGATTGAAAATAAAGTTTAAATTAAACCTTTAATGTAAAATATTTGGTGATACTTATATTTTATAATTAATATAATTAATATTAAGAGCCTGGCTTTAAAATATAAAGCTTCACAATGAATTGCAAATCTCACCAATACTAAAACTGGTTTCAGGAGAATCATTGTACTCAGCTGAATCTCCTATTAAATTTATTGCTATTGCGAAGGGATCGAATCTTTATGTTAGACACACGCGAAATTACAGTAACGTAACGTGAGACTGGCTACGAAGTTAGAAATGCAATTGAAGATATATTTAACGAGTCACGTAGCTATGCAGATTTTGTGCAAATCAGATATTTCCTATAACATGGCGCATAGTGTCACGTGTGTGATAAAGGAAATAAGATAAAGAAAAGCAAATTGAACGACGGGAAAAACAACGAGGTTTTATAGTAAACAAAAAAGGTTTTATTTTAATTTACTGATTTGGTTAGAGGCTATAAAGGAAGAAAAAACATAAAAGGGTTACCTGTAAGAAGTTAGAAATACTTCAAAATATCTACAGCAGGGAGTTGCTGGGTTTTGTATTGGTATTGTTTACATGTCAAGTCAGCGAAGGTTTTTAAACGGACTGCACTGAGGCAGGTTTTTCGGCAACAACTGACTTAGCCCAGCGACTAGCTTAGTTTCAATCATAAAAATAAATTCTCTTAACAATAGTTATCTCAAAAGTTTATTGTGATTTATTTATCAGGAAAAAAGGTTTTTAATACAATACGAGAGTTAGTCAAAAAGTAATGTAATTTGTTTTATTATATAAGAAATAAGAAACACAAACATATTGTACATCAAGATATAGCTATACTGTAGCAAAAAGAATTTAAATTTTATTTCTTTCCTTGCAAACAATGTGTCCAAATAATTGATATGGCAGCTCGGTTCCACAATGAAAAACAAATCGCAGGTCCAAACTCGAAGATCCAGGGACAGAAAGAAATATCAAAAACATGAATCGCAGGTCCAGTGTCACAAATCATCGCTACTGGTAACCAGTTAGAAATCACCACGCAAGCCGACAGACGAGGCAGAAAAAATAACAACGACTTCTCTTTCGAGAACACTAGCCGCTTTTATCAATGGAACAATTTTTTCATTGGTCGACAGTTGGGAGTGTAGAATAACAATACAATAAACGACACTTACCGGCGTAAGAGTTCCAGCTAGCGTCCAGCTGGCAGACAAAAATAAAGCAGGTTGTAACTTAATACAAACCCTGCAAACTAACTGAAATTGAGCTGGTATTTATATAGAAATACTTCCAGTCAGGTACCAGCAGCCAATCACAGCCCAAGCAATGGACTATCCCACTTTAGCATAATGAGATGCTCCATTGCACCATAAATAACTCTTCCTCAATGTTGAATCAGTCTTCACTCAGCTTGCTCCACAACTGAGTGTTTATCTTGATCACGTGATTGTTCGACATGGCGCTGCGAACAGGATTTATGACACCTGAAAATTGGGAACTCTTCTTCATTGAAGCAGGCATATCCACCGACTCGGCCAAAACTCATGCAACAAGGTTTGCGGACGAGAAGCTGACAATCGAGAGCCTTCAAATGCTGGATCGATCTATGCTTAAGGAGCTGGGAGTCCCATTAATGGGAGAAGCCCTGTGTATCATCAAGCAGGCTAAGGAATCCACCACCCAGACAACCCGCATTCAGGCACTAGCAGCCAAGCCTCCTCATCTCAATCTCGAGATGACACCACAGCAATTCAGGAAGTTCCGAATTGACTGGGATGTCTTTACCAAGATGACAAATATGCCAAACTCCCAAGCTAATATTCACCTATACAATTGTGCTGATGAGGCTGTGCAAAACGCCATAATCAACACACACCCTGACTTCTTTACCACTGATCCAGATAATCTACTTGACATGGTAGAAGTGTTGGTCACCCAGAGGTCAAGTCCTATTGTCCATCGCCTTGCTTTTGCCTCCATGTCTCAGGATGCTGATGAGCCAATACAAAGTTACCTTGTCCGCCTCAGAGCCGTAGCCGTTGATTGTAACTTTACCTGCCCCTCGTGTGAACATGACCTGTCTGATATATACATCAAGGACCAGATCATCCGTGGAATAGCAAATGACACACTCCAGGCTGACCTACTGGCCAAAGCTGGGGCACTTAAATCCCTTGAACAAAATATCCGTCATGCTGAGGCATTTGAATCAGCATTGCGGGACCAAACCTCAATGGCCAGTGCTTCAGATACAGCTGCTGCTCGGCTATCAACATACCGCAGACAGAAGGGTACACCACAAGCCAACGAGGCGATCAGTACCAGCACCTATTGCAACTGCAATGTTAAACCAAACCACCAGGCTTGCTTAGGTTGTGGCAGCCACCAGCATGGCACCTCAGGAACTGAATCACGCCGGCTAAAATGCCCAGCATGGGGACAAACATGTATTAATTGTGGGAAGCCCAATCACCTATCGAGGGTATGCCGGGCTAAGAAACCAGCTGAAGCGGTGAGGAAAAGCCTATAGGCTAATGAAGCCGCCATGGACACACTTATCGCCCACATCACATTCAATCAAACGACAGGCACGTATACATCTAAAGACACAGGCCAGATAAGGGAAATTGATGCATATGTTGTTCCATTTTCGCCAAAACCGGATCCCAGACAAATTAAGAATATCCCCAGAAATCAAAGCACTAGGATGACAATCTTTCCTGACAGTGGGGCCACCATATGTCTCGGGGGACTTAAGCACCTTCTGAATATGGGGCTCACTATCAACAACCTCATTCCATCAAGAAAAGTCGTCCGAGCTGTGGGAGTCTTTACGCTTGTATGTCAGGGTTGGCTCCCCGTGGAATTCATCGTCCAAGGAAGAACAACTAAACAAGCCCTATACATATGCAAAAAGATTCAGCGGCTATACTTCAGCAAAAGCAGCCTGCATTGATGTAGGATACTGTCCAAAGACTTCCCGAAGCCGACAACTACAATATTACCCCAAACAACAATGCAACACATGCCCTCGACAAGCACACATAAAAAAAATCGGACGTAAGCCCTAAACAATGCAAAGTCGAGGGACAACTTCCAACACGCCCCAAAAACTCCCTTTTCTCCCAACAGAACAAAACATTGATAGGCTCAAGAATTGGCTATTGAATCAATTTGCCGAAACGGCGTTCAAGAACAATGGTGAATTCCACCGATGTCTGGCCCCACTGCACATATACACCTCAAAGAAGGAGCAGTCCCCAAAGCCAGACATAACCCAATTCCTGTGCCTTTTTCACTTCAAAGAGCCCGTAAAACAGGCCCTTTGGGAAGATGTGAAAAGGGTATCATAACCCCAGTACCCGTCGGCATGCCCACTGATTGGTGTAGCACTATGGTAATTACCGCCAAGAAAAATGGCAAACCACGAAGAACCATAGACTACCAACACTTGAATTCACAGTGCAAACGGGAAACACACCATACAGGGTCACCATTCCAGCTAGCACTACAAGTGCCACCTAAACAAAAAGAAAACAGTGTTGGATGCTGTTGATGGATATCACTCCATCCCCTTAGATAAAGAGTCCCAGCCACTCACCACCTTCATCACAGAATGGGGAAGGTTCATATACCTGAGAATGCCACAAGGTTACCTAGCATCTGGCGATGCTTACACCAGAAGATATGATGAAGTAATAAAAGACATCCCCCGCAAAGTAAAAATCATGGATGACACCCTACTCTATGACTCTGACA